AAACAATGAGATTAGATTAGCGTTTTAGTTTTTTTTTTTTTTTTTGCAAAAAAATCTTAGTTTAAAGAGTTAATAAAACTTGATGAAACAAATTCGTAAATTTTTCTGGCGTAAAATCTCAGTAATTCCTGACCGTTTTTTTGTGAAGTGATTCTCAACGATGCATTTCCTTGAATCCATGGTGCACTTGTCAGGCACTTTGCAAAATCCGAATTCGCTGCCACTCACGGCGAATACAATCGAAATAATAATACATAGAACTTTCAAGGCAGACATCTTTTGTAAATCTTACATTCCTCTTTCTTCTTTTTCTTCTTCTTCTAGCCGATAAATTTCTAATTTTAGTCTCTACTTCTTTCTGTGTCCTAGTAATGAATTTCCAACCTTTATGTTGTATTGAATATCGCAGAACTTATACTGCATAGAGCAGAGAGAATAAGCCAAGCTTCTCTCTGATAATACATAATAAAATCGAAATTCTCTTGTTCTCTGACCCCGTCTCTTTCTTATATCATTATCTTATATCATGCAATTTCATTTGTTTATTCATTATTTGTATTATTTCATTTTTACGTTTTTTATTGTACGACAAATGTGTGTAGAGATTCTCGGATCTCTCTATCCTACAACCAATCAACAGGTTGAAAAATTTGTCGTACAACAAAAACGAACAAATGAAATATCACTCTTAATTATTACACAATACTAATGATGCGACTTTATAACAAAATAAAAAACTGTACCGATTGCCCGATGTTCATGAAGCTAGAAATCTGTCCAAGATCTTGATCAGAGAAAAAATTAACAAATCACATTTGAATAATTTGATCACATGATCATTGTGATTGGTTAATTCTGTTTTCATCCGAGGTCCCGGATTTCTAGCATGTGGACACAAGCCTTAAATGTGTTAGACCCTGCGCTAAAGTTATTAGATTTTTGAATCACAAACTCACATCCATTTTGACGTGAAACGCGGCCATTTCAAATTTATGCCTTTGTATATACATACTTTATTTTGGAAAATAAAGCTGTCAATGTAAAATAAATGTTTTTTAATTATAATTAATTTATTTATGACCGAAAAATATGTATAAATATGTATAAATGCTTAATTTATATATTATTTAGTTTAATATGAGTTTAATTGTAGAAGTTTAATGCATGTGAAAGTGTACGAAGGGATAGATAAGTACACTTTAAAGGATGAACCACCAACTACTATGCTTGAAATCGTGTATTATGTGCACTTCTTCATCCATTTTGACATTTCTGAAATCAATTGCGATATTTTAGAAATCTAGTGACTTTAATGTTTATCGATCTTCTCTCGCGCCATCTCGGGCTCCTTTCTGCTTTCAGAAAGTGTCACGAAGTGTCACGTTTATTACTTTCAGTTGTTTCACGTATTCTGACTATTCGTAGGCATTTACACCAATTTATACAGGTCGAAATTATTAGGGATTACCCGGTTTTCTGAATTTATTGAGGACACGCTACTCGACGATTTACTAAACGCTTCGCTCTAAACTTGCTTCGTCAGATTTTGTGATTATCTCGTTTTATCATCGTACCTATCAAAACTTCTATCGCATTCTTTTTCTATTGTCTTTTGTCAAACTGCAAATAGGCAGCAAACGAAATTGTTTTTTACGACAAACAATGCAAAATCATGAAGTTCTACGAGGTAATTAACTTTGGTGTAACTTATAATTTTTAAGATATGTAGCGTAATTTGTGCCAACAACAGGAAATATTTAATTTATAAAATGATTTTTGTTATTAAACAGAATCCAGAGTGCGTGCCTTTGGAGGAACTGCAGTTGAATATTAAGAATGACGGGGTGATTATTGTGATAGATGCGCTGGTACGTTAATTTTTTAATCTTAAGATTGTAGAAATTTCGTAGATCTGTTTTTTTAATTTTTTATACTTG